CACTTAGTAAACCGAACAGCGGGGAAGAGGAAGCGTTTAGTAGAGATGATACCCCCCTTCAGACCTGGCAAGCCTCCAGTCAGAAAAGAGATTGGAATTTGATCCTAAATCCCCAAAAACTGGTATTCACGAACTTCCCGAAGCCTAAGGGCTTCCTTACAGGGAACAGCGAATAATGAACTTTGTATCTAGTCTAAATGACATACTGCCAGGAATGGTTAATGCTAATGATATCACCTCGGTGGAATATTTACATTATGATGGTCACTCAGTGAGAGCACTGACCACTTTTAGGGATCAGAACCTGGCCAAGTATATTTTTAGGTCAAGACCTGCCTTTTTAAAAGCACGGACAATAATACTTAGGTTCTTTGAAAATAAGGCTCCTTTGAGCCCCCTTTTGAAAACTAAGCAGGCAAATCTTAGAAAGGGAAACAACTCTCAAAATCCTGGCCTGACAAACAGAACCCGCAATGCCTTGCAAGTAAAGGTGAGGATTTCTTTACTATGGAAGAAAATATCCTAATTGACCAATTCTGGATGTTCCCACCATTAATACAAACTGACATCTTGGGAAGACTAGATAAGCTAAGAGATAAGCTGGCTGAGAGAGCTTCAGGCAACGAGGTTATCAAGGGGGACCAAAAAAAGACCACAACACGTAACCTTCAGATCAAAGCGGAGATTAACTTTCCACCAAGAGAGAATGTGCCACCCTTCAAGGAGAGTACTCCATCACCCCCGAAAGAGAAATATCCCCAAGGTGACCCCACAAGACGTATGGGACAAAATGAGATACCTAGATGAAACAGAATTGGGCCAAAATCAGGCCAAAACAGACTATCCACAGAAGGAATTTATGCATAATAAAGAGCTGGTGTTCACAAACGTGAGCACTTTGCATCCACCTATTGAAATCATAGAGCGGCTGGACAGCCCAGCCATTCAAAGACGATAGGCGTCCGATACATAAAGCGACAAACCCTAAAAGTACGTTAGCTAATAATTGACAAAGATTTGATTGTGATAAAGCCAATCTTAAATTTTTATCATGGAACATTGCTGGTTGGCTCAACAAGGCGACTGACCAATCATTTGTCAATTTTATTCAAGATCATGATATAGTCTTCTTGCAAGAGACATGGCTAACAGGGGATCTAGATGTAAATGGTTTTGCCTCATTTTCGCTCGCAGGCTCACCAAGCAACAAAGGGGACGAGTTAAGGGTGGGCTAGGCATTTTAATATCCACAAGGCTGAGAGCATCTTTCGTCGAGCTGGAGCCTCTGAGCAGTGTGGCCATGGCATTATTGATGAAATGCAGATATTGCACACTTCTATTGATTAATATATATGCCCCTCCCCAAAGAGGCAAGCAGCTTATCAAAAATCTCTGGCATAGGATAGAATCTTATGTCGATGAGCTAATGAATCAAACTCCTGCTGCGGCAGTGCTGCTGGCTGGGGATTTAAATGCCAGAATTGGCCAATCAGACGAAGCGTTATATGCTCATTTTCACGACGTACCTCCCATTTCTGAAGAAGCCCATTCTATTCCCCCAAGGCTCTCAAAAGACAAGGGCTGCAATTACGCAGGCCTATGCCTTCTACGTTTTTCCAACAATCTGGATTTGACTGTATTAAATGGTCGTGTCGACAGAGAACCCAGTGGGGAATTTACATTTATATCCAACATGGGAGCCTCCACTATCGATTACGTCCTGGTGTCATCTAACCTTTTGAGCAGAGCACGGGAATGTAAAGTGGTGGAGAGGGTTGACAGCGACCATCTACCGTTCTGTTTAATACTGGATGTAAGAAAAGATTTATTTTGCTCTGATAAACTTGTAGCCCCATGCTTCGAAAACATGGAGCTAAGATACTCACGTATTAAATGGTCCAGCAAATTGAGTGATGAAATATCGGAAAGACTTCACTCAGATATTTTTCTTGCTAGAAAGGAGAACCTCGTTAATTCCCCAACTCCTGAGGCCAGATTAGACATGTTCCGGGAACTGATTTCGTCGCTACAACCTTATCTGACCAACAAAAAACGCCACGGCAATCTCTACACTTTAATAAATCCAAACCTTGGTTTGACCAAGAATGCATGGCTATGAAACGCCTCCTGCTGGATAAGTACAGGAACTATAGAACAGCGAACTTACCTTCGCTTCCATTAGACTGGTTTGAGTCAAAACGCAGTTATAAAGCTTTGATTAGCAAGAAAAAGCTCCAGGCACAAAGGGAGGAATGGCAGTGCCTAGTGGAGGCCTCCCAAAGGAAAGATTCTGCCACGTTTTGGAAAATAATTGCAAAAAGCTGGAGAGACTCCCGATTGAAATCGAATACTCTATACCCGCTGGAGCATGGGAGGCCTATTTCCTCTCATTATATTCATCAAATCAACTGGCCCCAGCTCTGCTTCCTGCTTCAAGTGAATTTGGTAAGGAATGGCCCCCTGTAACCATAGAAGAAATTACTGGACTTATTCAAGCTCTTAAATCAGGGACAGCCCGGGTGCTGACAATATCCCACCAGAAATTCTTAAGGCAAATGTCGAATGGTGGGCCCCTGTGCTAGCCGCCTTGTTCACTAGTATAAATCAAGCGGCTATTATCCCCGAGGACTGGGGTTTAGCCATCATCATTCCAATATTTAAGAAAGGAAACAGAACTGAGCCAGCTAACTATAGACCAATCAGTCTATTAAGTATTATTAGCAAACTGTATGCTGCTCATTTATGTGATAAATTAGTGGAGTGGATGGAAAGAGAGCATATTCTATCAGAAGCTCAAGCCGGTTTTAGAGCAAAGCGTTCAACTATAGACCAGGCCCTTACCCTTCAACACCTGGCAGACAAATATTCTAGAAAAGGGGGGTCTTTATATGCAGCATTCGTGGATTTTAAATCGGCGTTTGATCTAATACCAAGGGATAGACTCTGGGAAAAGCTTGGCGCTACAAACATAGATAAACGCTTATTACGCCTTATCCGTGGTCTATACGAAAACACCAGGGTGAGGGTAAGATGCGATCGGTCAGGCCATCTAACTAAAGAAATTCAAACGCACTATGGGGTTAAACAAGGATGTGTCCTCGCGCCAACGCTATTTAATTTCTATATCAACTCTCTAGCAGTAAATATGGCGAAAGAAAATGCCCACCCTCCCAAACTGGCAGGTATTCCCATCCCGGTGCTTCTGTATGCGGACGACGCAGTCCTACTCTCCTTTTCCTGCATTGGCCTGAGGAAGCTTTTGAGATCACTTGCTGACTATTGTCAAGCGGAACAACTATCAATAAATTACAGCAAATCTAAAATTATGGTGTTTTCAAAAAAGAAGGAAACACAAATGGAGAATTAATGGTCAACCTATTGACCAGGTAGCAACTTTCAAATACCTGGGAATAACTTTTCAGGAAAGGGTCTCGTGGCATCAACAGATGAAAACGCCATTGCCAACGCAGGAAGGGCTAATAAAGCCCTTACAAGATTTTTCACGGGAAAGGGGGTAAATACGTTCCGGCGGCCTCCCAGGTTTTTGCTGCAAAAATACTCCCACAACTTACTTATGGATCCCAGGTTTGCAGTTTTAAAAATTTTGCGCCTATGGAGGCATTTCAAACAAAATTCTATCGGTGTTTATTGGGGATCCCCCCCTGTGTATCTAATATAGCTGTCCGCTTAGAAGTTGGACAACCACCCGTTAATGCGCGGCTGTGGATTCTAAAGATACACTACTGGTTAAAACTTATTTTTCCCCGGCCGGTTTGGCTCCTTTAACACTCTTAGACACCTTTCATTCCACCTGGAAAGCTTCCCTGTTTGAAAAGATAAGAAGCTTGGGATTCTCCCCGCAGATCTTGATAGCGGCAGGATATGAGAGAGCCAGAAGTCAAGTGCTCCAACGCATTAGGGACATAGAGCTGCAATGTCATATGGGCAAAATGGATAAACATGCCATAATTAGAGACTTTGGGAGAGGGTTCTCACCCGCAAATTATTTGGCTGATTTACAAATACCTAAGTACAGACACTCCTTTACCCTGGCCAGATTTAACGTTCTGCCCTCTGCCCTGCTGCTAGGCAGATATGAGGGCAAACCATATGAGTCACGTGTTTGCCCGTGTGGCTCATCGGAAGTGGAAACAAGTCTGCATGTATTGCTGCACTGTAGTTACTATGAGGATCTACGCTTGACCTTTATTGCCCCAGTTCTACAAAAGCTTAAAAATGAACCAGAACTCCAACGTATGAGAGCCTTGGTAGAAGATAAGGTTTCTGAAATTACGATCAATGTGGCCAAATTTTGTGTAGCCGCTATTAGGCGCAGGAAACAAGAGCTTTCCAATGTCATTACGCAGGCGAAGGCAAATACTTAATTTTTTATTTATGCTGTCTAATTTTAAATTGCAGTTATGTATTGAAATTGTCCTTTGTTTTTTCCGGTGTTATGCTTCGCTGACTAGCTGTACGAGTTAATCTGGTCTGTGACCGTTTAATAAATTTGATTTGATTTGATTTGATCCTGGTGTCTCCTCCCAAGGAGGGGGAAGATAGCTGTCCTCCATCTGATAGAGGAAAATGTTTTCAGCTATCTAGCTTCTCCCAAAGACAATTTTCACAAATCAGTCACTTAGAACTAAGCAATTAAAGCTATGTAACTGAAAGAGGACAGTGAGCTCCACATCAAGCAGTCAGTGAAACGCTCTCCCACGTCCTTCATGCAATCACCTTCCGAAGCTAAACAACAACAACAGATCTCCTTTGGTTGGTGATGGATCCCTCAAGGTCCACCACGTTCTCGGAGCCTGACCACCTTCCATGTGGCTTATGTAGTTCTCCTCCTGTGGGTATTCTCATGATCATGAAACCTCGATTCAGCATCAAAGCTCTCACCACAGTTTAGACACCTGCACAGTCTCTCCATTGTATGGAATGGTCCACGTGGCTCAAGGCCTAGCTGGAGACCTGCTATTCTTGCACACAACAAACATCTACATTCTTTGGTTTTGTTGCGAGTTGTCTGGAGTTCTGCGAGGTTTCTTCCCGCAGTCTGTGGACCTCATTGCCTGGTGAACTTTTTCGTGCAATCCCAGGTTTGATTTGTGATGGAAGCACTTTCCGCATTCATTGCATTTGTAGGGCACGTGAAAGGTCTTGTGTAAGCTTAGGCTTGCAATCCGATAGAAACCCTTCCCGCACTCCGAACATTTATATCGTTTCTCGTTTGTCCTGAGTGACGGCAATTCAGAAGTCTTTCTGCTGTGACTGCCACTTTTCCCAAGTTTTGAGCTTTGAAACTGCTTCCCTTCCCCACAGATTCTCAGATGAGCACCATAACTCCCCTTGTCTGGATCTTCTTGTTCAGTGAAGATTCCATCCAGATCAGATACACACTGAGCCCTCTCATTTCCCAGTTTCTCCCTTGCTCCATCCTGATCACGCAAGATGTCTCCTTCCACTTCAACCTCCATTCCTTCTCCCTCAGTCTTCCACTCCAGCATATCATCTGCTGGAAATAAGAGAGAAACTTTATTTTAGAGAGAGCTGGCAAGTTGGATGCTAACCTGCAGAAGGTGCAAATACAAAAGTGTAAAGTGTTTCCTTATACTTATACTTCTTCCCAACTTCCCTCCTCCACGAGTGAAAAGCATGTTGCAATGAGTTTACTTTTCTTTCAGCCCTAACCATCAACAGGGAAAATACATATTAAATAGCCAGGAAAATTAAGCCAGAATTCTAGCAGGACAGAAGGAACAGTGATGGATTGGAAGTACAGTGGTACCTCGCAAGACAAATGCCTCGCAAGACAAAAAACTCGCTAGACAAAAGGGTTTTTTGTTTTTTGAGCTGCTTCGCAAGACGATTTTCCCTATGGGCTTGCTTTGCAAGACGGAAACGTCTTGCAAGTTTGTTTCCTTTTTCTTAACACCGTTAATACAGATGCGACTTGACTTCGAGGAGCAACTCATAGCACGCGGTGTGGTAGCCTTTTTTGAGGTTTTTAAAGACTTTGGTGATTTTTGAAGCTTTTCCAAAACTTTCCCGACACCGTGCTTCGCAAGACGACAAAACTCGCGGAACGAATTAATTTCGTCTTGTGAGGCACCACTGTAAAGGGAATTTCAGGAGCAGCAAAAGGCAGCATAAAATGAAGCTGGCCTTTCGGGCACAAGTGGCCACTTACAGGATAAACAACAACAACAACAACAACAACAACAATTTTTATTTATCCCCCACCCTCCCCAGCCAAGGCTGGGCTCAGGGCGGCTAACAAGCAATAATAAAAAACAAGTTGAATGAATACAACCTAAGAACAAGATTAAAATATTGAAACATTAAAATATTGCCTCATCATAGGAGGAGAAAGAAAAAAGAAAAAAGAAAGAGGGGGAGGGAATCAAATTGGCTCCAAGCCAAAGGCCAGGCGGAACAACTTACAGGCCCTGTGTAAAGAAATCAGATCCTGCAGGGCCCTGGTCTCATGAGCCAGAGCGTTCCACCCGGCCGGAGCCAGAGTTGAAAAGGCCCTGGCTCTGGTTGAAGCCAATCTAACTTCCTTAGGCCTGGGACCACTAGGGTGTTGCTATTTATGGACCTTGAGGCTCTCCATGGGGCATACCAGGAGATAGGAAGATATCACAGCCCTGACCCCTTAGCAGCTTTGTGACCCACAAGAACACACGGAAAGGGCCTCACCTGGGAGGAATTCTTCCATCCTGTTCAATCCCACTCCAGATGAAGGACTTGAGGGTTTGTCTTCTTCCATGGCCCTCTTTATAAAAAAATACTGTTGCAATGTACAAGATGAGAAGGAATGCCAGTGATCTAGGCTGATGAGTTGCGTCTATGGAAAAGAAGATAATAAGAAGAACCTAGAACCAGCTTGTTACAGAAATTACGGGGGGGGGGGGGATCTTTAAAGTTGTTAACAGTTAGAAATATTATGCCTGAATGTATCCTTTCGACTTGACAGCTCAGGGAATATACCTAGCTTTATGAATCATATAAGATCCACACCTTTGCCAGGTTCCTCCATTCCAACACCATTTTGCCCTCGGAAAAAGGACTCTTTCCCCTGCCGCCTCCCCAAACTTGAAGACATGTATACACTCCAGGAAATGCCCAGAGGTGACAATTGCTGGGCTCATTGTTCTCCAAGGGAAGCCAGAGCTCATCACCAGACTTGCCTCAGGTTCCAGACATGCAAAGGAAGTTCTATTGTACTTTGGGTGGTGGGACTTCAGAGGCGTTTGCCTATGCTAATCTTATACCTGGGTCTTGCCCTGACATGTCTAATTATGCTAATCTTGTACCAAGGACTTGTCTGGACATGTCTGCCAAGGTTAAACTAGTGTAACCCCTGTCTACCCCTCCCCTTTAGTGACATGTCAGTGATGTAGCAATGATGTATCAATGATACTGTATGAACTGTATTCTGGGATATGGTGGGAAAGTTTTAAAAGTCCTTGTCACCCCATCTTTGGGGTTCAAAATTCCTCTTTGAACCTGTTGCGCAATAAACTTTGGTCTACAGCTATTTGCTCCGGTTGGTGGCTGGACTCCTTCCTTTATTCCACAGGGACCCGCGGGCTCTGCCCGACCAGCTGGGGGACTGAGCAGCAAATCAGTCTCTTAAGTTTAAGCCAAGAAAGAGCATTCTCTATAAGATTGAATATCAATATACATATCAAGACTTTGAGATTAGACCACTGAAGAAGCCCGGAAAACTATCTTGGGAGTGTGCTACCTGCAAGCCCCAGTTAAAGGGCCCCATCTAGGGCAAACAGTGGCCTATTGATTATTTGGACTGCCAGGGAGAAACAGGTGCAAAACGCCGGCACCCTGTCTCTACAACTCTACTAGCATCTCTCGGTATTGAGAATATCACTGAACTTACCTTTTGTTGGTATCTTCATGAACTTATCTAATAGACTGAGTGAAGCATTTGAAAAAAATATATTGAAACCAGACATTATAAGTTCATTTTAGGCTGGGTAGTTCACTTTGTTTAATGTTTTGTATTTTTCTCAGAAGGTTGATAAAGTAAGCATAGCCATCACGGCTACTTACCTCTTCCAAGCCCCGGGCTGCAGATGAAACCCTCGCGAAAGGAAACAGGTATGAGAGGACTTCCACCTAATGAGCCTCCTCTTCCACACAGCTAGGCCTTGGCTCATTTTGAGTGGGGCCAGCTGCGAGTCATTCCCTTAGCATTTGCAGGAATTGCTGGGAGTGCCTCAAACATTGCAGAGCAGGTGTGTAGCTTTAAAGAGAACTGTATTCCCCTCACAGAACTACAATTCTCTGGAGAGAGATGATGGTGATGATTAATTAAATTACCGTACTTATACAATCTTTTTAGACTTCCATCTGCACCTCTGATAATCCACCGTTTTATCCACTTCTTATACATTTCTTAACTTTATATTGCCTTTAAGTCTCTTAACAAATTATCCTTTCCTTTATCCATTTTGCAATACTTCCAATAATATTCCTCACAGAACTTCTTGTAAACCTACAAACATCGTCTGGTCTTCACAAATACTTTTCAAATAGTCCGTAAATTTACTCCAGTCTTCGGTGAATTTCTGGTCCCGCCAGTTTCGAATTCTTCCTGTTAATTTATCTAATTCTGCATAGTCCATTAACTTCATCCTCCATTCTTCAATCGTCAGTAATTCTTCTTGCTTCCATTTTTGGGCCAATTCTTGCTGCTGTTATTGCATATAAAAAGAACTTACATTCATTTCTATTTATATCACTCCCAACAATACCCAATAGAAAAGCTTCTGGTTTCTTTATAAATGTATATTTCAACATTTTTTTCAACTCATTATATATCATCTCCCAGAAGCATTTCACCTTTTTGCATTCCCACCACATGTGATAAAATGTTCCCTCTTTTTCTTTGCATTTCCAACAGTTGTTACTGACTTTATACATTTTCGCTAATTTGACAGGTGTAATATACCATCTATACATCATTAATTGATTAATTGAATTTATATAATGGCCAATACCTGCAGGTTTAATAGATAGACTGCTAAACCATTCTTTTATTATATATATAATTCTTACATTATTTTTCAACATATTATTTTCAACAATAATTAACCGTACTTTCATATCTTATACCATTTTTTTTTACTTCCATCAATCACATCTGAAAATTTTCCAATCTATTCACTTAATATACATTTCTTACTTCCACCATTACATTTAAATCTCATAACTAATATTTCTATTCTTTCTCTACTTTGCAATGTTTCATATATTTCTCCTTACAAAACTTCTTGTAGTCCTACTAGCGTAATTTGTTGATTGCAGTTGCTCTTCAAATAGTTCGTATATTTCTTCCAATCTTCTGTGAATCTCTGGTCTCGTAGGTTTCAAATCCTGCCTGTCATTTTATCTAATTCTGCATAGTCCATTAATTTTGTCTGCCATTCTTCTTTCATCGGAATTTCTTCTTGCTTCCATTTCTGGGCTAAGAATACTCTTGCCACTGTTGTTGCATATAAAAACAATTTAACATCTTGCCAATTAATATCCTCACCTATAATACCAAGTAAAAATGCTTGTTTTTTTTTAAAAAATGTATATTTCAACATCTTTTTCATCTCAGACTGCTAAACCATTCTATAATTGGGTGGGGGAGCTCCTAACTACTCTCAGCACCCTTGAACTACTTTGTCGTTTCATGCCGATTTAAATGGTCCTTCCTTGGAGGTTTTTAAGAAGAGTTTGAATGGCCACCTGTCCATCTGCATTGCAGGGGGTTGGACTAGATGACCCTCGGGGGTGCCCCTTCCAACTATGATTCTGTGGGGTGAATGTGGTCATGGTTAGGACTCCATCTAAACTTCATGACAGCTTCAACTTTGTTGCAGCTTAATAGGGTGGTGAATTTGTCACATATTCTACTCAATATTGATCGAGAGCAGAACCTCAATGTATAGTTAGCAGAGTAAAAACTTAAATTCTTGGTCTCCTAGCTCCTAGGCTGACTCTCTAAGCACTATACCACACAGTCTCCGCAATTCTCCCTGGGGGAATAGGTATCTCCTAACCACTCTTGGCACCCGTAACAGACTACAGCATCTATGGTTTTTGGTGTGTGTGTTTGCTGTAAAAATGGTGTTTACATAGTGCTCCAAAGAGGAACAACACCTTAAAGGTAAAGGGACCCCTGACCATTAGGTCCAGTCATGGCCGACTCTGGGGTTGCGGCGCTCATCTTGCTTTATTGGCTCCGGGAGCCGGGGTACAGCTTCCGGGTCATGTGGCCAGCATGACTAAGCCGCTTCTGGCGAACCAGAGCAGCACACAGAAACGCTGTTTACCTTCCCGCTGGAGTGGTACCTATTTATCTACTTGCACTTTGACGTGCTTTTGAACTGCCAGGTTGGCAGGAGCAGGGACCGAGCAATGGGAGCTCACCCCGTTGCAGGGATTTGAACTGCCCTAGGCTCTGTGGTTTAACCCACAGCGTCACCCGCATCCTTATTGTCACAAATGACCAAATTCTCCCCACCAGAGGCTTTTGATCCATGCAAGCCTGAAGCAGTTCTCTCCTTGCAGCAGTTGGTGGTTTGCATAACCCAGCCAGGAGGCCTGTGGCACCATTCACATAACAAAAACTACCATAGATACTAACATTTTGAAAAGTGAGGGGGGGCGGTCCATGACTTGGCTTTCAAAAAATGGGGGGTTTGCAATACTTGACTACTAGGGAACCATTGCCCTACAGGAATTACTAGAAAACTGAATGTAGCAACCCAGGTGTTTTGCTTAATTAATGCTGCGTGGTAATTATCTCACTGCAGGAAGTGAAGTTACAGGGAACCAGGAAGAGGGCCTTCTTGGTAGTGGCACCCGCCCTGTGGAATGCCCTCCCAACAGATGTCGAGATGATAAATAACTATCTGACTTTAAGAAGACATCTGAAGGCAGCCCTCTATCTGGAAGCTTTTAATGTTTGACAGACTATTGTATTTTAATATTTTGCTGGAAGCTGCCCAGAGTGCCTGGGGAAACCCAGCCAGATGGGTGGGGTATAAATACTGTATTTTTTGCTCTATAAGACTCACTTTTCCCCTCCTAAAAAGTAAGGGGAAATGTGTGTGCGTCTTATGGAGCAAATGCCGGCTGCGCAGCTATCCCAGAAGCCAGAACAGCAAGAGGGATTGCTGCTTTCACTGCGCAGAGATCCCTCTTGCTGTTCTGGCTTCTGAGATTCAGATTTTTTTTTCCTGTTTTCCTCCTCCAAAAACTAGGTGCGTCTTGTGGTCTGGTGCGTCTTACAGAGCGAAAAATACGGTAATAAAATTATTATTATGAGTGTTCTGGGCCATGATATCAGAATATGTTGAATCTTATTCATCACAAAAGGGCCTGGTCTAAAGCATTAAGTTCTTTGGATGGCAGTGAAGTTAAGGAAGTAGTGGAAGAAAGTAAGAGGCCTCATTTACGAGAGGAGAACAAACAATTTAAGGAAGATGAAGTGTGGGTGAAGGCGGTACCCCAGACAAACCACCAACAACTGTTGTAAAGGCGTGAGCCGGTGTCAGTTCAGGGAAAATTGCCTTGCAGCATGCTGAGGATTGTAAACCGGAATGATAAAAGTGTAATTTGAAAAGCCAAATAAATAATATATAGTTTTTCAAAAAGTAAACTCGACTGATGAATCTGCCTGTTTATTAGGATAAAATTTATTCATAACCACCTTTTAAAACAACTAGGACATCTCCCAGGCCTTGCCTTTTAAACTTTGCACGAATATATCATTCACATAATCTTCTAGAACCTATGAAATGTACAAGGAACAAGCAGCAGAAGAGAGAAAGCTATATCTTGATTGCAGGCAATTTAAGTGAAACCATTCCTTGACCTTTGTACCGATTACTGGACTTCTTCAGAGGAAAAATACATATATTCCCCCCATTGAAAGAGTTCTGGTTATTTAGAGGTTAGCTTAGGGCAGGTGAGCTTGATAAAAGTGTTTTTTAAAAAATAAAATATGCTAACCCACCATTCCTCTTCTTAAATTTTAAAACTTGGGCTTCAACAATGCAACACGCTCCCCACCCCCCCCAATATAAAGGCTGAAAATCATGTTGCTACATCGGGACTGCCTGGCAGGATCAGATGTGGATGACATCTTAAATACGGCGATGATGATGTAGAAGTTGCAGCATAAGCA